AGAGAGAGAGAGAGAGAGAGAGAGAGAGAGAGAGAGAGAGAGAGAGAGAGAGAGAGAGAGAGAGCTGCGGTGGGAGGGAGGGGGACAGCAGTACGCTACATTTCCGTTTTTCGTCGAAGCGGCCATGATGAGAGTTGTTTACGGAGGGATAACCACGGGGGCCAGCGGAGGGAGGGGAGGGAAAGAGCAGTGGGGGGAGAGCAGAGGACGGTGGATTTGCAATTTCGCGGCCATCGGGATCTTCATTAAGGGACGTTATTGGATCGCCAGAGGGCAGTGCCTGGGCCCATTGATAAAGCGAGGCGCGCGTAATCCAAACACGGCACGAGATCACCAACAAGCCAAACCATTTCCCGGGCCCACCTGCTGGCCCGTGTAGCGGCAGCACCAGCGGCGGCACTGCGGCACCGGCAAACCCACCCGGGCAGTTAAATCCGACTGGGACTGCAAAAACAGGGACTAATTAAACCGATAGGGGCGCTTCACTACACGCGGGAATCGCCTACAAACAGGGCAGTGCGCGCGTCGCCGCGTTTTTGACGCACAGTGAAGTATTGTTGGAAAGCTGCGGGCACCATATGATTTCCTCGTTCATTTTTTGTATGTTTATAACTGTATTTTGGGGGAAAGGTATTTTCTCACCTTTTGCCGAGGTCTGGTGGAAAGTCTATTACGGTACAATCACCACTCGATATCGTCGACGAAATTTTGGTAAGCGTACAATAATGGCAGTTTTTACAATGATATAGCTTTAGGAGCAGTCGTAACGTTTCTGTGCATATAAGCATCTATAGGTAATGTTTTCAATATGCAAGAACTTTTTCTTTAGGTTGTGATACACGCAGGAAAACAAGAGTGGTATTGCGCACTTAACACACACTCCACATGCACGCACACATGCAAACACACACAACCACACACAAACCTCCTCTGGATACTATCACGGCGAATGGCGACTTGCATTGTGACTCACGCTAGGCACGTGGCACTGCAACTCGCGGGGACACGGGAGAGAGAAAGGAAATGATCGAAAGATAACGCGGAGGAAAAGAAGTGAGTGATAGAGAGGGGCTTGTTGTTGCTGGGTACGCGGGCGAGAAGGAAATAGAAATAATAAGGTGTTTGTGATAAGGAAGGGGGTAAGTGATAAGGAGACACCTCCCTGGCGGCGCCCGCGGAGGTGGGCAACCCCTCCGTCACCTTGGCGTGACCTGCGCGGCGGCCGCTGCGACCTCGCCCCGCCGCGCCCCGCCGCGCCCCGCACTGACCCCGCGCCCGCCAGCGCGTCCTTGGTCTAGTTCACAAGCCGCGGCCCTGGCACAAGTGTGCTGCGCGTCGTGCAGAGTTACGCGGCTCCTCGCCGCCCCGCCACGCACCACTTCAGCTCGACAAGGGATCTGGGCGCGCTTCTGGTCAGCAGCAGCAGCTCCGCGCGCAGCTCCGCCTGCTGGCCTCGTAACTCGCCCAGCTGCCGATCTCAGCCAACCCCGCGCCGCCGCGCTGCCGTTCTGTCAGCGTTTCCAAGAGCGGAAAGCACAGCACTCTGCTGCACAGTGTGAAAATTTATGACGCACCGCGATATGACCAGGTGATGGTTGCCTCGCAGAGTGTACCGGCACACGGCACACTGTTGTCATGCCATATAAGATGATGGTTGCATTGTGAGAATGAGCAGGTTTCTTATTGATAACGTAGGGTTTGGTGTATTGAACCAGCCGAATAATATGGGTAAACACGACACCTCGACAATTGGGGTGCTCGTCTGAGAACTGAGGTCTACCTTTGTTTAAGTCTCAAAGAAAGTTACAGGAGAGCGCGTATTGGGCCCAGCAGCCACCTTGAGGGTCTAGAGATTCTGATACCACGGTGCGTGCGAGTCGCACCGAAGCAATGACAGACTTTGTACAACGCACGCGCAGTTCGTGCGCATTTGCACTTCTCCCGAGACGGAAATGTTTAGTTCAAGTTAACGGCGCTGTGACATTACTCCAAACTACGCAGCCAGGTTGGCATTGGGTGTAAAAATGTGTTCTTTATTTGTTGTTGCTTTTACGTAGAAGTGTAAATGTTCAACAATCAACAAACAACCATGCAGGGTACACCCTGAAAAATTAATGTATGAATTTACCATAGTGCATGAATTGCGAAATCATACGTTTCACACCGTCCGAGGGGCCGGCGTCGCGTGGCATCGTTAGTGACGTGAGTCACCGGGCGAGCGACGCACGCTACACGCGTCGGCTCGTCGCCCAGTGCTAGCTGCGCTTTATGAATCACTACGGGAGCTTTCTTCTTCCAGGTGTCAGAGGGAGAGAGGGAGAGAGGGAAAGAGGGAGAG